CCATTCAGCTTTACTGTTTTCTCTCATTCTCTGTGGTTTCATATTTGTTGGATATATCTTCTGCACACAACTTTGAGTGTTATATTCCACCTTGTTGTTAAAACCATTTGGCTAATGTTGCTGTACCATAGGAGACTAAAGTGCAATCACACAACGGGGATGTAGTTTTTTTTAGTAGCTATGTTTGGGGTTTTTTTACCCTGTAAGATCAATCCTGTATATCTGTAACTACTATGTTGCCAAGTAGAGTCAATTGTTCTTTCTTTACTAAATGCATGCAGTAGATGCGTTTAGTCTGAAGAGTAGTTTTTAATATGGAATATAACATACAATGAGTTGGTCAAGTGTAAGAGAAAGCATATTCTTTTGTACCAGCACTAAGTTTGGGTTCTAGCTGGCTTGTGCATTTAATACATCCCTCTGAAACTTTTGATTCAAGGTGAAGTTGAGATAGAGCCTGTGTGTGATTATGCACATACAAATAAGTGGTTGCAGGTGAATATATGAGCCTCAAACTTAAGAAGGGAAGAATCAACAAGTGAGATGGTTGGAAAGATGTCAGCAGATGTCCAGCAAGGCACAGGATCTGGGCTAATTGACCTGCAGGTCTGTTCTGGCCAGGTGCTTACCAGCTGGTGATGGGTATTGTGGCCAAGTTTTCTCTGGTAGGTCCTATTAGAAATTCCTGTGTTTTTGGCCTTGACAGCCTTTCTGATCTCAGTGTGTAGGCTAGCATCTGATAAAATTGCTAGAGGTGACTCTGGTTGAAAGCATTGCTATATCTTTGCAAGCAGTGTGCAGAAGCCCACAATGCCTTACTAAAGTAGTCTAAGCTGTGATAATTTGAGTGCCAGCATAAAGCTGTGGAGAGAGCCCACAATAAAAACAATATGTTAAACTGTTTGACAGACCATTTTGAAGTGCACAGCTCAAAAAAAATAATCTTCATTCTTTATTTTGTTCTACATCCCCATCTGCAGCATCTACAGTAAGTACAAAATCGGTGTCAACACCAGGATCTCTGCAGCGATCCCGCAGCGACGTTGATGTGAATGCAGCAGCTAGTGCCAAGTCAAAAGTGACATCCGGAACATCTACCCCCTTCAGTTCTGCTGCAGCCTTGCCCCCAGGCTCGTATGCATCACTAGGTAAATCTACATATTTTTCTACAGTTGCAGTTAGTTTTCTTTACTACCAGAAAGTGCATGGGTTTTTGATTTAAATATTAAACTCTGTATTTGCAAAAGCAAAACTCTGAGATACCTACCAACCTGTACAGGATCAGGGCATGGTCTCTGCACTTGGGGCTTAAGGTAAAAACTTGAAAAGGGATATAACTTACAAGCACTTTTTAAAATTGCTTTGATAGTCTTCCTCTCTCACCTTTTTTTCTGGAGAGTTTCTATTCTGCCTCTGTGACACTGTTGAAGAGAATCCTCAAGGTCCTTTCTGATGTGTCATCTCCTTCTCCTTCCCTGAGGCTGGTTTTCCATGGTTCATTTTAGGTTTTTCAGACTAGACCTTGACTGAGTTGCTCACTTTCTCTTTTGCAAGAGAAAAGAGGTGTAGAATTCGAGAGGCATTAGGTCTTTCGATTTCACTACACAGTAAGGACATAACTAGCCATTCTTTAGGCAGGCTCCTTCTGGATTATAACCACATGTCACATTTTTTTTTCCAAGTACAGTATGTCGTTGTTAGGTGCCCTGTTTTGTCTGACAATAAAGTTTGTATTTGACTGCTGTTTTTTTTCTGCTGGAGTTATGCTCTTGCTACCTGGCTGAAGAAGGAAATGCAAATTGGTGATTAATGCTATTTTCTTAGCCTCAACTTGGTTTCATTAGTCTAGATTTGTCCCAAATGGTGCTGAGTACTTGAGCTGGTTTCTCATTCTGTTGTTTTCATACTCTCTTAGTTCCAGGCCTTTCACTGATTTATCTTCATAAGAGTGAGAAGAATCAGACGCCTGGTCCACACCAGAATCACTGGTCTTGATTTCCATTGTGTAGATTAAGCCTTTACTGAATCAGATGAAATGTAGCTCCTTAGTGTAGAGTCTTTAGTTTGATGTAAAAATGTTCTGTACATTATGTAGGATGCTTTCTATAGACTCCTTTAGCAAGTAAGGTTTTTCTTGTGTCTAAAATCTTTTATCTTGGCTTAAATCTCTTCGTTGTATTTGGTTCAGAGATTGTGCGGTAGTTTTTATCATGGCTTAAGTTGGTCATTCTTCATTGCAGTAAGAACTGAATACAGCTTATGGAGCTGAATGCATGTTAGTGTGTTTTAAAGCTTTCAGTCACGGCAATTTAGTTGCTCTGTATACTGGCTTCAGTGGCAAAACGGCTTTAAGACAGTCCTATATCATGAGGAAGAAGGGGAATAGAGGGGAAGAAACTGTTAAAACTGTCTTTGTTTTTTTCCAGGAGGCTGTGAATACAGTGTCAGCCTCATGCTTAAGGCAAACTGTAGCAGAAAAAGTGACAAACTCACTCTGACTGTTACTTTAATGCAGACATGTGGTTGTACCTAAAGGATTCTATTTCCCTTTGAACTAATAAGGAAATTTGTCACCTGTACATTTCCATGAAATAAGTACTGAGACAATACCCAGGGTTTAGCCAAGTTCAGTGTTATTGTAGAATTAAAAAAAAAAAAATTAAATACATTCTCTAGGTGCTTCAAGCTTATATTTGCTGCTTAATAAAAATTCCTTTTCCTTTTCATCTCTCTGTACTGATTCTTCCCTATTAATCCTTTCCTTTATTTTTTTTAATTTGCTTAAAGATGGTACTACCACTAAACCCGAGGGTAAGCAGTCTCTCTGTGTTAACCGAGGTGTGTCTGCAGTCGTACCACCCCTACCTGGTCTCTGTTCTCCAAGTGTTTCCTGGTTCTCATCCGTGTTCACTGGTGATCTGCATGAAGTGTTGCATGATTGTTCTGCTCATTTTGATGCCATGGGGTTTTCTTCACTTCTCCGAGCTCTGGCCCACTAACAGGCACTGCTCTGGTTTTATGCCTGATTCCTGATCACCGAATTGTATCTAGGTCTCTATTTCAAAGGGTGCTTTTGGTTGAAGGTGACCTGTGCACAGATTAAAAAAAAAAGAAAAAAAAAAAAGGCTTGTGTTTTCCAGCTCTATGTGTAAAGGTTTGCTGTGTTTTTCCATCCGAAGCTCAGGTCTCAACTGCCAAATGCCTTCAGAGGGAGACTGGGCAGCAAGAGAGTTTAATGAGATGATCACATGGCAGAAAAATGAGGGCAGTAAACAATGATCTCCAAGGAAGGAATATTTAGTCAGTCTCTTTAAACCTGAGCGCTCTTTTATTGATAACTGAGTAAGGTGGCATATATCTAAGGCTGTTGAAGGGAAAGCCTTTTTCCCAAGAGAAGACACAGTGAGCCTGGTAGTTTGGGAGGGCTCCCAGTCCGGTTCTCTGGCTCTTTGTCAGGGCTTGTTCTTTATTTCTCACTTCTCAAGCGAGGAAAGATCACTGGGAAATCACTCAAGGTAGACAGGGATAGAAAACAAGAAGACCTTATGTATAATGAAGAAGAAACCCCCTACAAACCCACTTTTTCCTGATGCAAGTCTCTTCTCAAGGGATCTGTTAGTGTCTTGTGGGACATCTCCTTGCCTGCAGTAGAATGTGGTGTTCTGAGAAGTGCCACCATGTCCTTGTAGGTGTGCAATTTCTTTCCTCCCTATCATTGATTCATTGAGTTGTTATTTAAAGGGAAAAGATTCTACCATCCCCTGAACTGGCATTTAATCTTAGTATAGATAAATGGACTGGTTCTTAATCATGGGCAAGTGTTTATGCTTTGATCTGTCAGGGATAAGGAATGTGAAGTTAACTTAAACATCTATATTTCTAAATCAAAAGCCAGTTGGATGAAAATTCCAAACTGATACAGATTGGAGGTTTCTTCTTCCCTTCTCAGTTCGCAAACCTTTCCAGTTTCACTCTAACTTTGGAAAGTTGAGTATTAATGTCAGTTTATGAAATACCTTATGCAACTCTTTAAAATGCTCTCCTAGGCTGTAAGTAACATTCATGGAGGGCTGTTTTAACATCTGTCCTCCAAAATACCTTTAGTTTATTAAATGCTTTGTTGTCCTGATGCAGAAGCTTTTTGGTTGCTTTGTTTTGATTCAACTACTTTGGAAGCAGATCAGATTTTTTTTTTTAATAAAAATAATAGAAAACAGGAAGTTGCTTTAGAGGTGGGAATTCTGAAATAAACTTTCAGAAATGGAGTTTGCCATTAGCTTCATGTTAAACTGCATCTCATGTCATCTTTCTGCTGGAGGATTCTCTGGGGCGAGGATAGGGATCGGGGAGGATTATAACAACAGGCACACTTGCAATCTGAGCGCTTGCAGGATGCCTTTTTAAAATCAGGATGCTTGAAGCTCTTCATTGTCTCTGGTTTCCTTTGAGGCAGGTGAGGGGGAAAAACAGCCTTTGTTTGGAGTTCAGTGTGTCCTTGAGAGGTGGGCCAAGGTCTTCTGCCAATTCTCTGATCTTACAGAGTTGGTCAGTAACTGCAGGGAAGACCAAACTTTATACTCTTGACATAAATGTAAAAATTAAGTAGGTGAAAAATAGAGAAAAGACCCCTTGCTCTGAGAGAAAATAAAACAAAAACAATCTCTCTCTGTCTCTCTCTCTCTCTCTCTTTATATATATATAAAGATGCTTTTAAAACATAAATGGCAGAAATTCCATTTCCCCTCATCCTACATTTTTTGCAGGTCACCTGTAACTAACTAACTAAAGAGCAAATTCCTGTGGCTTTGTGTGGTTCAGTGTATTAAATGTGCAGTCTGGTTCCCATCATAACTTTCTGTAGCTGCAGTGTACAAGTTCAGCACCTTTCCCTCTGACGGCAGCCAGCACTGCGCTCCCTTGACAGTCTCCTCTGCTTTGCCCTCATCCTTCCCTCTCTGTTTTGTTTTCGAGTCGTCGAGGAGAGGCGTCTCAAGGCAGGAGCAGAATAAAAGTGGGTTATGCCAGTGACAGGAATATAAGCTAGCAGCGGAGTGTTGGGCCTTTGATTTTCGTATTGTCGTCTTAGTTGGAAAACTGGTAGAAAGCACTTTTTAGAAAGGTGGCATAAATCTGTATACAGCTTAAATCCTTGTAGGACTGGCTGTCTGTGTTGCAAGGCTGTGCCTTTGTGCTGTGCACAGTTACAAATTCCTCATGCAGGCGCCTCATGCGTGGATCTCTGGAACTTTCTTAGGAGATCTGTAGGCAGAAAGTTTGTGAGATTGAAGCATTTATAGTCTTGATCAATACCTACAACTAGTGCTCTGCAAGTAGCAATTGTGTTCTAAGTAATCTTTAAATTATGCATGATGAAGTTAACCTTGGACCCAGTTTCTGCTTATTTTATCAGGAATCATGTTTTCAAGGAATACCTTATGGAAATACTGAACCTGGCGAGCAAAGAAATAACTTATTTCTCTTCTTTGCAAAATAGTAAAGTTTAATCTTCCCACATGGCACAAACTCTGCTTCACCTTCAGTTCCAGAGTCAAGCAATTGGAAATTGAATCGTGTTTTTGAAAAAACAGTGTTTGTTCAGTTGAGATAGGTTCTACTTTCAGCATTTGAAGTTGTATTCTAAATGCTTTTATTTTTAGGATGCTGCGAAGGGACAGTCTTGTGTATGTATATATTTTTGGTTTGGTGGAAATTATTTCCTTATTTTACTCTTGATCTCGAGAAACAGTTCACTTCTGCCTCTTTTGCTTCCCATCTCACACAATCACCTTTCTCTTGATTTCACTGTAATTTTTCAGACGTTGTTCCTCACTGGTATTTGCCAGTACATCATTTGCAGGATAATGTCTCCATAGCAATACCCCTGTTAGGTTGTGCTTACACCTGATGCCTCCTTTACCAAGGTATATGATTTCCCCTACAGGTTAGATATGGTTTTTGACAACATTTCACCGTGTTTAGACCTTTATGGTCTCTTATATTTTGGAAACAGATTATAAGATTAAGAAAATAGGGGTTTATTTCAATAAGCAAGCATGTGCTTTAGAGAAGATAGCAGATTATTGTGCTCAGTTTTTTGCTTTGGAGAACTTGACTCATCATTTTCCTTGCTGTAATATCTGAAAGCTACAGTATCTATGTTTCAAGCAAGGGACCAGTTAAGGGGGAAAAGAGGATTCATAGAAATTGCAATTTTTGTTATTTGTGTGCCTTTTTTTTTTTTCTCTTCCTGAAGTGAGCAGAAAAGCCTTTCCCAAAAGGAGGAAGCATAAATTCCAGACTGTCCTGAAGCTAGCAAGTTAAAACAAATGAGATGGGAGGACATTTCCCACAGTGACATAACTCTTATTAGTTTATTATTATTATTCATTAGAAAAGAAATTCTTTGACTTAGATTTTCAGCTATCCTAGACTCAAAGAGAGGCCTGTTTTGTCAACTATCTGTCTCTTTAGTAAAAACTTGAAAAATAAAGTTTTAAGGAAGTGGAGTTCCTGGCCTGGCCTCAAAGCTTGGTCGTCTTGTCAATGGGCTTAGTAGGACTAAGCTTAAGCTAAAAACAAGGAGTTTGAGCATGTCAGCTTAAACTGAACAACCCAGATCTCACAAGAAAGACTTGGGAAACCAAGAGGTTTCCCTGTTCACTTGGTTGGTCTCTTTGCAAGTGCTGATTTCTGACTTCAGCTGGTGTCAAAGCCAGTGAGTTTCTTGCCTGTTTGTGCAGGGCAGTGGCCCTGGTGCTGGTTTGCTTGGGAGAGGACTTTGCAAACCCAGGGGTGCATTGAGAGCTTATGGGACCACATGCAACTCAGTGGTGACACAGATGGGGGATCCTGGATATAAAGGGTATATATCCTTTATATATACCTGTATCCTAAAGGATATATATACCTATAAAAGCTATACTGCTTTTCTCAGAATATAGTAATTCTTCTAAGAGAAGCTGAAAAATGGTGGTTTTAAAATATGGATTGCTTTATCTGTGGTTTGAACTAGATATTACTGAAAGCAAAGAAGTTTTGTGAGGGGAAATGTTTGCTTTAGATTTTTTAACCAAAAAAAAAAGTCTGAATAACTTGCCTGTTTTGTTTTTCTGGTTAGTCTTCCTTGAAATTAATTTTTTTCTCTGGGGTAAGATGATAAAGCCATACAGATAATTTTATGTGCAAATAACTATTGGATGTGAATGCTGACTTCTATTTGCAGGTTAGGTGACATTATTAAGGGAATGTAACAGACATTTGTGTTGTATAGATAAAAATCTGTATGAATGTGCTATGAATGATATGATACATGCTAAAATCTCAAAGATTTTCAAGCCAGATAGATACACTATCTTACAGATCTTACATTATTGTAAAATGAACAGTTCTTGGATGCCATAAAACTGATTTAAAAATTATACCTGTATGTGAAAAGGCAGAGAGAGAGAGAGAGCTGATCATGTAGCTATAAAATCATAGCCTTGTTTTTATGCTGTACAGATTTGCTTAAGGTGATTTTTGAGTGTTTGGTGTGTGGGGTGTTTTTTTTTTTTTTTCCCTCCCTTTCCCTCCCTTCTCTTCTCTTGTTTAAGCTTAGAACTAAATTTGGAAAGTGTCATTAAGAATCTTTATTCTTGAACAGTATTTTTATTTTTGAATCACTAGCGTGCTTACAGAAAGCAAGACTACTTCTATTAAAAATAAATATATGCTGTTTACTAAAAGAAAGTATCACTTCGAAAGCATATTGGCAGTTTGTGTTTCAAGGACTCTGTAACTACATATGAGAATATAAGAAAGCATTCTTTGCTTGTAATTTTTGCCCAGAATTTGAGAGGCTGTTTTTCCCTTGTTTAATTTTATTACATGGACTTGAAGCAACCATGAAAAAGTCCTCCTAATGCACTCTTACTGTGCTATCACAGTATTTACACTTTTACATGCCTTTTGCCTATGAAGCCACCGTGATGGTGTCTTTTGCAGTAAATTTAGAGTAAATTTAGGTCAAGTTGTTAAGCATGCCTGATGGTGAGCTCAGGAGTAGAAGGTGGGAATGTCATGAATTTCTGATTTCTACCCATTCGGGTTGTCACGTGCACAATGCAGGGACAGCTGCTGCTGCTTCAGGAGGGTTAGTTCAAATATTCATCAGACTCTTTGGAAGGATGAGAAAGCCAATATCTGTATGGGCATGCTTGTTCCTCCTGTGTGAGAGGAATCTTTCATTCCACGCCCTTTGGACATCTACTAGGCCAAAAATTGCCAGTAAAACCTGCCAGTCAAAAAAGGAAGCAGATTCTTGTCTTCAACACATTCGAATGTGTTAATGTTGGTAGGAAGCTTCCCATTGACTCTGAGGAGCTTCGCGATAGCCTTGAACTCTTTGTTCTAATTCAGCTGATACTCACACATTGATTTTAATTTGGGCCTTCAGTTTTCCTTCTCTAAGATCAGAAAACAGTATTGTCAAAACCAAATTTGGTTTCTCTTTATATACTGGTTTTTGCTTTGTTTCATGGATGATCATTTATTATATGTTTTCCCAGTTTCTTTTGTGTCTTAGTCATCTGAAGACAGAGTGATAAACTCATACTGTAGATGCAGGAAGAGCTTAAAATTTAAAGGAGCTTGAGAGGCCTGTACCTAAAGGAAATATCAGCCGATTTTCACCATCAGTTTTCAACAAACTTACCACTCAGTGCTTTCTACAGTGCTGAGGCTTTTGTGTTTTGGAAGGAGAGGTAGTTATTTCTATGGATATTTCTTAAAACTACTCAGGTTTAACATGTTACTATTTTGTACTCCAGCAGCTGCTACCAGCCATGCCCTACTGATGTGAGAAATACTCACACACAGGTGGTGGCTATAGTGGCTCCCTTCCAAGAGTGCGAGATCCTTCTGCTCCCTTCCCTGTGCATGCCTGCCCTATCCCATGGTGGGTTTGGGATGCAAGCTCCTCATCTCCTGCTAACCAAGCGTGTGCCTGGCCTGCAAGGGCTGGAATGGGGCAGCCAAGAGCTTGAGGCCTGGTCTGGGTTGGGCATTAGGCTGCCTCTTTACATGGGGCAGATGGTGTCTAAGGGCAGACAAGATCTGCAGCCTGGCCGAACGCCCTAGCGTGGGTGGACAGCCTTGCTGTGAGCCACATGGACGTGCTCAGAGCTGGTTTGGTTGAGCTAGTGATTAAAATGCAGCTTGTTACGTGTTCTCCTGGTGTTGTATCTACAGATAATCGTTTGAACATAGATGTGTTACCTTTCAGAGTTGCCTGAGCTTATTTTAAAGCTCGTTGCTGTTTGAGAAGATCTGCTTGTTGTCTCTTCCTTCTGCTAGCAAGCCCAGATTTTTTTCCCCCCTCGAAGTTGAGCGTTTTTGTAATTTGTCTATCAAAACTAAACAAGCCATGTTATGAATATCCTAAGAGCTGGGATAGAAGACTAGAGCTCTTGTCCATTCAGCCTGGGCTATCGTTGTCATGTCCTGCATGTATACCTACCTTCTGTGGAGTCTTATTTTGAGGGAGTGTGAGAAATGTATGTGTCTGTTTATGTTGCTATCTGTATGTTTATGGTAAAGATGTTAAGGTGGGAGCTAAGTTGTGGTTGCCTAGAATATTATCCTACTTCCCCCCTCCTCCCCCCTCCTCATTATTGTGCCTGCAGCTTGAAATCATCCTTTGAATGCAGGATAGCACTGGCATCAGTCCTGAGAAACAGCTTTGGATTTGGCCAAGAACTGAGTTGTAAAAAAATGTGCTGAGGGAGATCTTTGTGTTCCTCTTAATTATCTTTTCTTTCCAATTTACTGGAGACAGTTGAACCTTAGCACTGGAAAAGAACTTTCTGTAGGCAAGAGCCCTGTCCCAGGAAGGGGATGAACTGATGACCTTATAGGGGTTTTCTAGCTCAAATTTCTGTGGCTTTTTCATGAGGAAAGAACAGAAAAAGGAGCAAGAGCACTTTGAGACTTTATATTGATTCTCTGCTTAAATAGAGGGCAGCCACATGGAATCTTTTTTCCACAGTGTTGATTGTGTTGAATGGGGCTCTCCATTGCAAGTCAAGTTACACCGATGTAGGGATAGATATGTCAGGTCTGTAAACAGCAAGGAAATCTGAATGAAAGGGACCTGAAACAACTGTGCAGTTGGGCTGGGCTGCCAGACTCTGTGGTGTGCCGTGTACACATCAGTCAGGATACAGAGCACCGGGCTGCTGCTTGGAAATCCCAGCCATGGAATTTGGGGAGACATCTGTCATGTCTTACGGAGGGATCACCTTGTCACAAAGTAATAATTTGATATAGGATGTAGGAGACCAAAACTTATATTTTTTATTCTTTTATAAAGAAATTACTGTAGAACAGAAATAAAGGCTGTAGTGCAAGGTAATATATATATTTTTAATCATACCAGCTGTTAGCACTGCAGAAAGCGAAGAGATTTTTGGTCTTCTACTGTGTGTCCCCTCACTCCCCTTCCATCTCAGCCAGGCTTTTGAAACACATTGCTATTCCCTATAAAACTTCTTGAATACAACAACACTGCTAGTGAGAACAGGCAGTGCTTGAGACTGTTGCTTTTAGAAGACACCTATTAACAGTTGAATTTTGTTTGTTTTCCTCCAGGTCGGATTCGTACAAGGAGACAGAGCTCTGGCAGTGCCACAAGCGTCACCTCAACGCCTGCTGACTCCCGAGGACGTAGCCGGGCTAAAGTAGTTTCACAGTCCCAGCGTAAGAAGTGTTTTATTTTGAGCAGGGAGGGGGAGGAGAAAAATTGTTGTTAATGTTTCTCTTACATTGTGGTAGCATCTGACTGAGATCTGAGTTCCCCTCTGCTAAGGAGAGTGCTGTTGGGATGTGTAATGTAATGACACATTACATTAGTGAAAGGAATCCCTACTCAGCCATCTTTCACCGTATGCTTCTGCTGACAAATAAGCCCCCAGATTGGAGCGCTTAGCTGTCACAAGCTGCTTTTTCACCTGTTGCACAGCAATCTTGCAGATTGCCATGAAGCGTATGACTAAACTTCCACCGGGTCCCGCTGAGACGTCTTCTGTGTCTGTAGCTGACTGCTGTCTCTCGGGTTCTTGCCCTACTAAGCTTATCTTGCTTATATTATTGTATTTCTGTACGTGCACAATGTGAATTGTCTAAGTTAGTGTGATTTAACATCCATTTAAAATAGGACATTACCCTTTCTGTGTAGATATAGGGGCAGTAACTTTGCTGTCAGGTTCATGGGGCACACGTGCTCTCTGGCTTCCTTGCATGCCATGATTTCCCCTAAGAGCCATACATACCATTTTTGTCGAGTGTCTAAGAATATTGTCACTCAAACTTTAAAAGGAATAGAGGGTAGGGAGAAGCTGTTCATTTCAAGATACTCAGGCTTGCGGACAAGAAGAGACAGGGCTAGCAGAGAGAGCTGTTTGTTCAGAGGACTTGTCTTGCTTTGCACCCTTGTTTAAAAGCCCTCATCTGTTCATGCTGTCATTGCTTTGCTCTGTCGTGCTGGAGGGATGGGGAACCAGATTTATAGCATTACGTTAGGTAAAAGTTTTATATTCAGAATGGGACCAACTGGAAATCTTTATGTAGAGGCCATGAAGGATTTTGGACTTCAGTACTCTAATCTAAATTCATACATACAGCTTAGACTGTAAAACTGATCCAAAATGAGAAATGACCTTTTTTCCTGATTTCAGCTTAGTGAAGAATAGTTATATCAGATGAGAACTCTCAATGTAGTTAACGAACAGTTGAATATCCAAAAGTTATAAACACTAGGGTTTTTTTTTTTTTTTTAATAATGTCTAATGACATGTTAGGTGACATCTAGTTTGAATCCTGAATCCAGCCTGGCACACCAGAAGTGATCTTTATCTCCTAGGCCAAACAATTTATGGAGCAAGCTATGAATCAGATATAGTCACAGGACTAAACTATGTGTCCATGCAGTGGGTAATCCTGTTTCAATTGTTCAAACTGGACTGGAGTGTAATGTACAGCAGAGTTTGGGTGTACTTACTTGGTTGATGTTTCCCTAAGAAGCTGATCAGCCTAAAAACTGTTGGTTGCATCTGTGCATTAACCCACTACATTCTGCAGAGGCTTTTGGAGTGACACGTTTGTGAAGAAACCTGTCTGCACTGTGTATAACATAAACTGCATGCTGAACGCTGTATTGTCTTGCTGTCTTTTAATCCACTTTTTGCCTGTCCTTTGGTCTGCCCTCATAATCAAGGATCCAGATCAGCTAATCCTGCTGGTGGTAAGAAACATTTTCCCTTTCTTGCTTTCTCACGTTATTTCCTTCATGTTTTTTTAAACTGCTGAACTTGTAGATTCCCTCTTTCCTGTCGATGTTATGTTATCAGAGGCTTAAAAATCATTTTCTTAAAGTTAGAAATCTAAATGTATATGATAACTGATTTAGCAGTCAAGTGTGGTAAGCACACATTGTGTATAGAAGCAGACTCATTATTGTAAGCATTGCAGGGATGTTCCTGTAGCTTTAACCGTAGGTGCTAAATTCTTCCAGTTATTTCAGTGCCGTGTTGACATCTGTGAGTCAGTGTAACTGAGAGGAGTATTTGGCTCAGGGTGTGAATGTTGTGCATGTGACTGGCATCTGTCACAAGTATTCTCACCCAGCACCATGTACAGTGTTGGGAGTACGTGGTTTGATTGGGACAAGTAATTTGAACTAACACTAGTTATGCTGTTGTCTATCAAATTAATAACATTGCATACAGTCTTAAATTAAGATAGAAAATAAATCTTTGATACTTACTAATTGTAACACTGTTCTGGAACTGATTTTTTTGACATTTGTGGATGTTTTTTAGAAAGACAGAAGCATGAATATTAGTTCAGAATGTAAACTCACCCGAGTATGATTTTGCAGCCTTTTTTTGACTGTTTTAGCAAATGAGTCTCAGGAATGGCAGCAGCAGAATTTCAGTGCGACCTAAAGAAGGAGGGAAAGGCCTCAACTCCATTACTTTTAGTCCTTTGTAGTCACATGTAAATTAACATTACTTAACTACTTGGCAGCAGTGTGCCCTCGTGGCCAAGAAGGCCAATGGGATCCTGGGCTGCATTAAGAAGAGCATCTCTAGCAGGTCGAGGGAGGTGATCCTGCCCCTCTACTCAGCCCTGGTGAGGCCGCATCTGGAGTATTGTGTCCAGTTCTGGGCTCCACAGTACAAGAGGGATGTGGAGCTGCTGGAGAGAGTCCAGCGCAGGGCTACAAGGATGATCAGGGGCCTGGAACATCTGCCCTATGAGGAGAGGCTGAGGGAGCTGGGCCTGTTCAGCCTGGAGAAGAGAAGGCTGAGAGGGGATCTAATCAGTGTATATAAATACCTCAAGGGAGGGAGTGCAGAGGACGGGGATGGTCTCTTTTCAGTGGTGGCCACTGATAGGACTAGAGGAAATGGCCGGAAACTGAAACATCAAAAATTCCATAGGAACTTAAGGAAAAATTTCTTAACAGTGAGGGTGACAGAGCACTGGAACAGGCTGCCCAGAGAGGTTGTGGAGTCTCCTTCTCTGGAGATCTTCAAAACCCGCTTGGATGCAGTCCTGGGCCACGTGCTCTAGGTGTCCCTGCGTATGCAGGGGGGTTGGACTAGATGATCTCTAGAGGTCCCTTCCAACCCTAAGCATTCTATGATTCTGTGATTCTATGATTCTAATTCTTGACAGTGTAAAGTAGCTGGCACAGTCTAGGTGGCCTAGAGCAAGCCCACTTCTGGTACCACACAAGCTTGTGTAATGCTAGCAGGGGTGTTTCCATGCTGCACTGTGTGCCTTGCCTTTACCCTGGCTGGGCAGCAAGAGTAGTGCAAATAGAATTGTTAATGCATTTATCATCGATGGGCTTTCCTTAGGCATCATCTAAAGCCCATGGGAAATGCTCCAAAGGGTTTTATATGGGCTTTGGGTCAAATTCTAAAATATAGCCTCTTGTATTTCAATTTTATTTTCAGAGTATTTTAAACCTTGATTTCCCTCCCCTCACATTTTTTTTATTTGTTTTTTTTCCCCTCGCAGCTGGCAGTCGGTCTAGTTCTCCGGGTAAACTCTTAGGAAGCGCCTATGGTGGCCTGAGCAGTGGATCATCCAGAGTCCAGGCAGTGTCATCATCATCAGAAAAACGCAGCAAGATCCCTCGGAGCCAGGGATGCAGTCGGGAGACGAGTCCCAACAGGATAGGACTAGGTAAGAGCACCCACTGCAGTGACACATCGATCAGTGTGTTCAAACGAAGTTTTTTTCTGTTTGCTAGGAAATTAAGTGTTACTGTTGCCTTCAAGTTCTTCAGCCAGCAAGTTAGTGTTAAGAAATGTTCTATTTTTGATTGCAGCTTGTAGGAAAGTATATCTAATTTTCTAGATTGAGCCGTAGTTTGAGTAGGCTTGAGATCATCATGGGAAGTCTTCTATTTGAAAGCTGACATGAGCGATGCAGTCAGTTCGGGCAGCAAAAAGAATTAAGTGACACGAAAAATATCTCGTTTGGCATCAGTGACTTAGCCCTAAAGGGAATTGAGTGATGTTTTTGTGAAGTCAGCTGGTATCAAGGGCAAAGAGCATCTTGAGTTATTTCAGAAATTTTATAGCTTGAATAATTTGCTGCTTCTTATCCTGGATCTCTTGGAGCCATTTCCGTAGATGATATTTTAGATGTATGCTCCAATTAATCTGTTTCTCATATTCCTGTCTCAATGACTGTTATATAAATATTCCATAATAGTTCTTATTTTCAAAATTATCAGCAGACTTTTTAATTAGGTGATGAAGTATCCTTATATAGAAACATTTGTTTACTTGGTGCGAAGGTACTCTGTGTGCTCTATGACTAAAAATGGTATTTTTAGTTTTGAAATAGAATGGAAATGTTTTCAGAAAATTGGCTGAATTTTATAGAGCAGAAGATCATTCTTAAAATAATTTACTGAAGTATTTTGTGCTAATAAAGAAATTACTAGGAGATTGAAATTGATTGATATTTTAGCCTTAATGTCAATTGAAATTTTAATTATTTAGTTCTTGTATTTTGAATTTAAGCTGGTTTTCTGTTTAGAGCATGTTATTTAAGAGCTATGTCTTTTTTGTTCATTGTTCAAATATACTGAAATGAATTTTAAGGTACAGAGCACACATGCTGTGCTGTGATCCATAAAAAAATTCCATGTTGTTTATTGTGATTGTCTTTCCAAATGCAAAGTTCTTTTCATGTCTAATCTATTTTATGACCTTTGTATGAATATACTGTGCTTTTCTGCTCATTGCCTTTAAAATGTAAAGCGCCTTCTAAGTTTTAGGAATCATTCTGCTATAACTCTGCAAAAAAAGTTGTTTTCAAAAGGAAACAAAAAATGATGGATAATACTGTCAACTGTGTTTAAACTTGTTTGGTTTGAAACAGTCTTTAGTATCCGAAGGGAATTTGCTTTTTGTAAAATGCTCACTCTTGGGTTGCAAGCTTTCAGGTAGATTATGGGAGCCTCAAGAATCCCTTTGGAAGGGTAATGTATATCTCATTGCTCTGATGTGCTCCTTGTGAACACAGTCAGTGCTTGGTCTTTGGGAGTGGGAGAGAACCTTTTTATTTTTATTTTTATTTTTTTTATTTTTTTTCTCCTGCTTTCCCAGGTGACCAAAGCCTGGTCTTTTGAGCTCTCATCGGAGCAGGAAAGACTGTGAGCCTTGTGTTGACTTTAGCACTTGATTGTAGAAGTTTTATGCCTTTACTGGATTTTAAAAATTGTAATATTGGTTTGGATTGAGATAAGCTTTGAGCTGTTACTTTTGTAACGTTATCTCATTGTGTTTATTACTTTCTAGCATAGTGTTTACAATATTTTGTATTGTGTTGCCTAAGTTCCTATTTTTCCCCTTTCCTTCTTTTTCTTGTTTTCAGTCATCCATTTCATTAAACGGCCTCCCCTTCACCTTCATCCTGAAGTTGTGGATAGACTTTCAGGCTTTTGAGGGATTACTTATGTTTTTGATAAGGTGCTTGTGTCTAACTCTTGGACTGAAACCTTGAGCCTGTGTATCACACTGCAATGCAGCAAGTGTTGAACAACCTTGAACGTCAGGCTGTTAGAATTAGGGAATTTGGGGTCCTCTTCATCCATTAGTTTGCAGAGGTGACTGAGCTGCGTGCAGTGTTAGGTGCGAGAGTAAGCTCAGAGAGAGCATGAGTGTGTGTGTGCAGCTGGGCTTTGTGCAAGAACTAGCCGCTTTTTAGGCTCTTCTGAGGATGAGGGCAATGCCAGGCTAATGTTGCCTGTGTTGTAGGTGCCCCTCTAAACATCAGTATCTTGCTGTGAGCTGACATTGTCTTGCTGGACGTGGACATGTCATGGAGTAAGCTTTCTTCTGCTGGTTGGAAACCATGAAGCAGTAGGTTTTTTGTGTGGTGTGCATGGCCCCTCATATGGCCCTGGGCTGTGGTGTTCCTTAATTCCAAGCTTGCCCTTGCTGTTTGGTACGTGGCAATTACCAGTGGTGTTACCCAGCTGGGGACGGCAGAGCGTAGTTCACGTGCTCTCATTTCTTTGGGATCCTTGAAGGAGGACTTTTCTAGGAGTGATGCATGTTTCCAGCGTGTCGAAAGTTCATCACCATGAAGTTAATTTTGTTCCATGGGTCAGCAGGGCCTTGTGTCCTAGCTGGTGTTGCAGTGCGAGGGCATGCTGAGCATCAGCCACCTGCTCGTGTCCTCGAGCATGCTGTCAGCGAGGGGATCTACCTTCAGGAACAGCTCCTGCTTCTGACTTGGGGAGATGAGAAACCAGACCCTGGAATGCCAGTTGGATTTGAAAGAAGTTGAGGGATTTGGAGCTAATGTCAGTCCACAAACCATGAAGCAGGCACAGCTGGCCATGCGCTTCACATAGCACTTTCTGTGTTGGGTTTACACTGTGTGTGCTTAATGGAAAGCTGAAGGAAAAGCTTTCCTTGCTTGCTGGCTGCACCACACTGCCCTTTTACAGTTACTGTTTTCTTAGCAATTACAGACTGTAAAAGGCTTGCACTGCTCTAAAGGAGGCATCTGCTGATTTCAGTGTGGATTCTTCTCTTAGAGTGTGATTTTAATAAATGCAGGTTTCTCCTATGTGGTAGAGTGGTCAGCAGGGGAATGGGTTGAGCCCTCCCAGTGCTGTTTGCATTTATTTATTTACACAGGTGTGTTTGATTAAGGCAGCCTACTAGCGTGTTTGTAATTGTGCATTGCTTCTGCCTTTCCATGTAAGATTGGTAAGACTTAGTTGTACAGGACACATCTAGAAAGCTGTGATATTGTCCCAACCTTGAGCCTGTCCATGGCAAAGATCCTAATTTCCCTCTGTTACTAGAGCTTCCATGCTGTCCACTTCCATTCTGCCTGCTCCTTTTAATTAAATTTGTTATTTAATTTCTGTCCAATTTCTAGGGGCTCGTAATCTTGAAATCGAGTTTAGTGGCTGTCTCATATGTCTTTGCCTACTGCAAAAACAGAGTTTGATGGTGTGAGAGACTTGTCTGAATGACACTAGTGCTGGCACTTGCTTCTGGCAGTGCTTGAAGAATAATACCCTGAGCAGGGGTGGTGGTTCCTGATATGTTTTGAGATCAAATACCATAGCTGAGGAATTCCAGGGCAGGTGCCTGGGAGTCCACCCCAAGCAGACTCGTCCTTCTGTTCTTTTCGATCCATTCTTTTTTCTTGCTTTTCAAATCTGTACCCAATGACATGCACATATTCTAATTATTATTCATGAACTACTCCGTTTGCTTTGAGCTTTCTGTTTGTGGAGTCAATATTGTGTTTCATCTGTGGCGTTGTCCTGCTAGTCCTTTTTCATGCAATTGAAGAAATGCATGTTCTTCATGCATTTTCTTCAGCATAATGCATGTTATGTTCTGTTAGAGAAGGAGAATGTGCAGTGTGTATCGATTTACAAATTTTAACCATTCATGTCTCCCCCTCCCTAAAGAGCTGTTACTAGTTGTATATAGTTGTATGAGGCTCAATATTGATGGATGAAATGCTTAAGAAAAACTTGTACAAACTTACTTAAGACTACTTGTACAAACTTGATGTGAAGGCTGCCATTATTTACATATAAGCATGAGACCCAAGAATGAGATGTTTGCTTCTGTCTAGCCCTCAGTTCCAGGTGAGTGTGCTTGTGCTGAAGACTCGGAGTGCTGCTTTCACCTGTGAGCTTTTTTTGTCTGAGCTGAAATTACTGTACTCATGCTCTCTAATTTCATCCACTTCACATTATTTAGTCTGTCCTGTTTGTTTATTATAAGACCATCTTCCTAACTCACTCAGAAGTTTTTGGTATTGTGGTGATCTAGTCAACTTGGTCAATGGCTCATCTTGTGTTGTCCAGCATCGAAGTTCAGCCATCAGAACCATTAATTGATCTATGGGGATTTTGCAAAATTGGGAGCAATTTGACAAAGAATTTTTCAGTAGCCTGTACTTTAATTTTAAGCTATAACCATGAAGATTTCTATTTTGTTCTGTACTGCTTTGCTTCAAAGGATATCATTATGCCCAATGTTTAACTAACTTTTTAAAAGCAGGCATTATATTCTGGAATGGTTCTTCTAATGGCTAGAGTTCTCCTCTTCAAAGAGAGAGAGAGGTCACATAGGTGTTCATAATTCCATTTCTTAATAAAACCACATTAGCAGTCTAGGGAACTGTTTTTCTTAGCTTGAGTCTAGGCATTTATGTTCTGCATATGAGCCAACAGAGATTTTTAAGAATATATGTATTCAGAAGCATGCAAATGGCACTGATTTTTATAAATATGAGGACACTGTTGAAGTTTGAGAATGAGGCAAGTTAATATTATGTACACATGCCTCTGCTCTCTGGTCATCACAGCTGATGGTTAGGTTTTATTCTATGCACAGGGAGAAAAAATCCTAAAAGGCTCTTCCTGAACACTCATTTAAAATTCACTGCTGCCTTTCAAAAAAGCAAAACAAAATTCCTTTTTAAACATTGCATTCTTAAAGATAACCTTGTAGCAGTTTGTTGTCATTCTCTATTACATAGGAAGATTTATCTTGTTCTCGGCTATGCACAAAGCTTTTTATATAAATTATTGTAAATGTCTTTGATATCAGAATGACACAGTTTGCAGAGGAATAGTCCTTTTGCTTTACATATTTAAGTCACTTATCTTCTAAAAATCTTCCTTAATACTCAAATCCTGTATTTTAAGTAGGATGTTAAATAACCTTCTACGGCCTAGCTCTGTTTGTGGTAGGTTTTTTTTGTCTGTTTTGGTTTTTGTGCTTTGGTTAAAATTTCCACTGAAGTCAGTGGGTTGGCTTTTTTTTTCTCCCCTCTCTCTCTACGAAAGCAGCTTAATCTCTAGTGCTCTCTGGCTGAGCTGCGTGTGCACGAGCTGAGTTTCTGTGCCACAGCTGATAGGCAGGAGCCTGTTGGGCTCTGGGAAACCGAGCCCTTGATAGCTGCCAGACCTGAGACCTTGCTGGTGTAGGGCTTCTGTCCAAGCAAGGAATATAGTTAAAGGTTCTCCTTCAGTGCTCATGTGTCTCCATGTATGTGCCTATAAAACCATAAATGTAAGATCTTAGAAATGTCTGAGGAACAGAAGTTAGATGTTGTTTGCTGAAGAGTTGAAGTTCTTGCTGCCTTAAAATGCAAACCACTTTGCAACCTGTCTTTCTGGTGGTTAGGAGCCAAGTGCTTTTCCCAGTATCTTTCACTGTAAATCTCTGCAGGTCTGTACAGTACGCTTTTTTTTCCTCCCCAAGATACTCGTTCATGATAAAACTATCATTATAAAAGCTATATCTATGTAAAAATAGCATATTGGTATTGTGACTACTTTTAAAAATTCTCATCTGATTAAGAGTGCTTCCTCTGACTTTCAGAGGGGTGTTTATCTTGCAAATAAGGGCAAAATCTTCCAGAAAGGTTTCCATTAGCTGCCTCTGATTTGCATGTTCTGTAACAGTAGAAATCCCGTAAATGATTGAAGATCTCCTGCTCTACTTGAATAACTATTTGGGTTGCTTAAGAATAAAGCAGACTGCGAGCCAGACATCTAACACCGCTGCAATCTCGCACCACAGCCCAGCGTGTAACGTAGTTGGTTTGTAAGCTGGCTGCTGCAAATGATAATTACTAATGTAATAATTACCGTAACTAACAGAAATGTGACTTGACTTTGAGCTTTCTGTCCTCATTAAACTTGTTCACCTTCTCTGAAACTCTCCATGCTGCATGCTAGCACGGAGCAGTCGCATCCCCCGACCCAGCATGAGTCAGGGGTGCAGCCGCGATACCAGCCGTGAGAGCAGTCGAGATACAAGCCCTGCTCGGGGCTTCCCTCCGCTCGGTGAGTACACGTAGGCATTGGAGCTTTAAGGATCAATTATTATTATTTTTCTTCCTTTTCCTCTGTTCCGATTGCCCTTTCACGATACTGGCAGGTGGGATGAGTTTGTTTCCTCTCCTATGTTGGATTCCTGACACAATCTCCCTTTCCGACCCTGTTCCCATTCCGTTTTCTTCTGCATGCCTCAGTTCTGGTTCTCAGCATTTCACTGTAGGAAAGAAGTTCAGTCTGAACTCCAACAACTCTCTGGTTCATTAAATCAGTTTGTATGGGGCTGCTGTGCTTCATTTTGCAGCTATGATGGAGATTTATGGGAGAGCAATATCCTGTATTTTCTAAGTCACAATGAAGTTGTCAGCAGCATCGTTGCTGATTGCTGAGTGACTCCAATTATGTCTGATTTTTTTGGTTTTGTTTTTTTGAGCTAGGTGTAGGAAGAGCAAATTTCAATAGCAAGTCTCCCATAAAAAGACACCTTTTTCTTCTTTAGATTTTGTCATTCAGCAATTCAGAGGTGGCACAAACCATTCTGTATGGATATCTTTTCAAGAAAAGCTGGGTTTTTGAAGTAGCTTAAGTGTACAGCACAAATAGAAAATCTCATTACAGTTACCACATGCAGAAATTTTATCTGCACAGGGCTGAAAACAGGATAGTTAATGTTTCTGATCAAATATCATATCATATCTATATTTTTTCAACCAATTGCATTCCTTGTTGTTGAAAGGTTTGTTTGTCCTCTCAGGTATAATGAAATACACAATGGCAAAATACAGCTTTGTCAATCAGTGTGGAACAGAGCATTTTGGGTTTAATTTTGTTATAAAAAGGTTGTTAAAAATTAGGGACAGATAAGCTAATATTTTCTATTTGGTTTTCATAGTTGATGTATTGTACATTGACTAATCTTTTAAACTAATACAGCTGTTGTCATTTTTGATTTGGTTATTTGTCTCAGCTTCAGGTTTTATCAGTGGAGAGGCTCTTGTTACAGTGTCTGTTTTGAAATCATTGGCAAAATTCCCAATGATTTCAGTGGAGCAGAGTAGAATCTTCAAATTAATATTAGAAAAGCTTTAGGATTAAACTTCATTTGCATAGCACAAAGCTACAAAACCTGTTTGCTTTATGAATAAAATCTCTTTTCTTAGTGAGAAAGGGGCAGGAGGAATTCAGCTTAATATTGGCTTCTAGCTCCTTAAGAAAGATAGCATCTTTATTAAATAAATTGACTTGATACCAGAGCCTTGAAAGGATAGTAAATTTATAGCTGTACTTTGTTCTTTAGAATTATCTGTCTAGCTTCTATGTAAGATAAGGCTGTTTTCTGTAACTCAAGAATTTTAAAATGCTGGATTTCAGGAGAAACTGTTTTCACAGTGCTTGGTGGTGGTGCTCTGTTTCCTTTATGTCAATGAAAATCCATTAACTGAAATAACTTCCTGAGCCCTCCTCCTGAAGGATAAATACAGTATACCAGATTCACAAGCAGTTTCAATTTGGGGCACCACCACTGAATTCTGCCTTGTCTGTCAAATACAAAGCTTGTTACAAATATCTATTACGGTCTTGTTTAAAAATATATATGTATATTTTGGAGGCTGAGGGAAATTACAAATTAACTTAGGAAATTTAGTAACCTGAAGATTATTTCATCTCCGAAAGTGTTCTTCTACAAGTCATTAAGGGCAAGTGAAGGTGTAAGGAGGGGAAGCAGAATGAGCATAATAATAACCCAGTATAGTTGTGATCATCTTGTCTGTTTTTGTATTTTCACTGAAATACTGTAAACTGGAACATGTTCATAAACTTTCAAATGAGCTACAGAATTATTTAGAAGAAACGCGTTCTTGATAATTGAAGTTAAAACAGCATGAGAGTCTTCTTAGAATCCAACTAGTAATAATATTAATCCTAAGATCATATATTATGTGTATATGCAAGGTAATCTTACTGTGCATAGTCTATTTAACTCATATTAGTGAGCTATATTTTGGGTAACTATATGTAAAGGAGAATTGAATCTGTGCATTCAACAGCATAATGGTCAATGCCAACACTGATATCCTGACCTTGCACATCTGTTCTGCTTCCTTTCAAGTCTGTCCATGCAACTGTGCCACGTGCACCAAGCACCCTGCTTCCTAAGTTCAGAAGCACCAGAGTCAGTCTTTACCCTCAGCATCCTTGCAGAGATGTGATTTTAAATATAGATAGATATTTAATTCCTGTTTCTTTTTGGGCCCTAATCTTGCAGTGACATCCACAGGGGCGCAGTGGGTGGCTTGGGAGGAAGCAATTGCAAGATCAGAATCTCAGTTGCGAGGCTCAGTCCATAAACCTCTATTGATCCTGCAAATCTTTCACGAGTTACCCCTGGTGTGTCAGTGGGTTTGTTCTCTTCTCGTCTGTTTTGAAAGACCACATTGCATATTCTGTGTAGCTTATAGCCAAGCTCACCCTATTGGGAGAAAACACAGTTTTCATTTTTCTTGTTTTGCTGTTTTCTATTTTCTATAATATTAGTATTATTTTGACTGTTTTGTGTAAAACAGAAGACGTCAAATTCTTGTATTGCACATAACTAAGTTTACTTGTATTAGAAGCTCATTTGGGCTATATAATAGTAAGGATGGTAAAGTAACAAGGCCTTCAGTAAAACTATGATGACAAATGGCTCACATGAGCACTTAAGACTTTCTTGGTCAGTTGCCAAGTGAGCATTTTATGACTGACAGAGGGAGAACCCCTTTAGAGGGGGGAAAAAGGAAGAAGAAAAGCCAGATTTTTGTAATTCTGAAATGACCAGACCAACTTTCCATTTGCTTTCATAAACAACTCACCTTTATGCTAGATCCAAGAAAAAAAAACCTCTCCAA